TTTTTATTTCAAACTTGCCATTTTTGAATGTGATTTATATAGAAAGAAAGTAGTAAAGATTATTAGACTCCTTAAAACTGACAGGCAAATCTAACTTTCCAGATGGAGTTCTTAATTGCATTAAAATCTATCACAAACTTGCTTAAGTCTGATTTCCCATGAAGTCTGATTTCTTCCTACGGAGGCTGTAAATTTTTTTATGCAAAAGAGTTGTATTGCAGATCAGAGCCATTCTTTCTTACTGTAGACCAAAACAATCTGAGCCTAGATGTCTTTTTAGCTATATTCCAACTATATTCAGCTACTTGTAGATCTCAAAGCTAAGGAATGTTAATGGGCCAGAAGAGTAATTTTGCCGATTGGTAATCTGTGCACTTAAAGGCATGCTAAGGATCAGGTTGAGGTTGAATCCAAAGAATAAAAACGTGTCTAATGCTATCAAAGCAATTTTGCATCCATTATCAACAGAACCTTTTCACAGCCCTGTGAACTATTAAATATTGTTATTACCTTAGGTTTACATATAAGGAAAAGAATGCTGAGAGATGCAAGTTTGCATAAGGTTCTACAGCTACTGAATGACAGGTCGAGGATAAAGATTCAAATCAATTTACTGTGGTTTAAAAAAATAATAATTTTGGTGTATACCTTTGCTTCCTCCAGATTAGTTAATTCTTCAGTGCCCTAATATACAGAAATACTGTTAGAGTGATCTAAAATATTCTTTCTAAAACAGATTGGAAGGCCCTTAGAACAGTGTTTCTTTTCCATGCTTGGGCAGCTAAATGACCCAAAGCGCCATACACATTAAGCAGAATCTTCAGTGTGTAACCTGTGTACCTGTGTGTTCAAGCATCCAGGTCCCTCTGGTGCTCAGTCAAACTTGGGAAATACTACCTTTAAGGCATTTAAGATCCTTTGAAAGAAGACAAATTAGTTTAAAATATTATTACTTGTATTAGATAAGCAGCTACCTGACAATGCCCTTAAAAACAGGGTAATGGCAAGTGGCAGGATAAGCTATCAGAAGCATTACCTGGAGTGGAGGTGCTGCAGGAGACATGGATCTATCCCGATGATGAAGATCCGAAGTCAATAGCATTTAAAAATGACTTCTTCATAAACGTGCAGGACATGGCACAACTGTGTGAAAAGAAGTGCAGGTTTTTTTTTTTACCAACTTGTTTGAATGTAAACATTATCATGTTTACATCCAATGCAAAGCTGTAAAAAAAATTGAAATTCATACTTTTGTACCTCTTTTCCCCTTTGACGTTAGAAGAACGTCTTCAAGGATCCAGTCCTATTAAAGGGAGAAGAGTTTAATAACCAGTCTGATTCTTTGTTTATAAATTGCAGCTTAAATGAACTTCATTCCATAATATCACGTTAAAAACATTTGTTTGCATCTTATGGCCTTTACATCTAATTGTGGAAGGAGGAATTCTCAAAAGTTTAAGAAATTTCAAATATTCACTCTTAAGGTTTTGAAGGCAGTTGGAGCTTGGATATATCCGTTGATCAACAAAGAGCCCACAAGTCCGCTATCCCCGTCTACGCTATGTGTCAGTACTCTAAGAAACACAGTGTCTTAATGTTTAGCGACTTGAATTGCAGCCCTCATTCTTTGACCTGTTCCACAATCTGACATGCTAACAAAAGCCCCACTTTTATTAATACATCTGGTTGTTAACTTTTTGATAAACTAATATGTGGGTTATTTTTGTTTAATAGCTATTACTCTGCTTTAGAATTTTGCCTGAGATCTATCTTATTAACAAAGAATACATTTAAATGGGTTTCACCAAACTAACAGATATACGTAAAAATTCATTTAAAAAATGTATATCCCACCTTGTTCCAGGAAAGATTTAACATGGCTTATTAATAAGTATATTAATAAAATATAATAGCATAAATAGGAAATTAATTGTGAGAACTTAAAAGTGGAACCAAGAAAGGCATTTAGAGAACTACTAGCTCCTCAGTGTTCATAGACTTATTTACCTTTTCAGTGCCTCTTTTCAAAAAAGTAGTACTCTTTTTCTAGCATTAATGAGTAAGATCTAAGTTCCAATTCTATGATTGCCAGAAATGAATTCTTACATGTCTATTAAGGAAGGAGCCAGCTGTGATAAAAATCTCCCCTTTGCTTTTGTAGTTTTCAAAACCTCATTAACATATTATGTGGAATAAATCAGACTAATATTATAGCCATATACTAGTTTGCTTTTGTATATAGAAAAAAACTAAAATTGTATAAGTGAAACTATACCTAGCCAAATAATCAGTAAAAAAGTTTTATTTATTTATTTTGTAATAGCTATTTAGAAGTCACTTTAGTAGGTTCTTGTTCTTGCTGATTATACCAGTTTGAGAAGTAAATTCCATGGTAAAATTCTGGCTTTGGCTGATTTTTTGGGTATACTAGTTACATCTAAAGCATGTGCTTTTACTTCTAAGAGGCCTAGATTTAGGATCTTTTTTTTTTTTTTAATTAGGAAAATTAAACTCTTAAATGAAAAATCTAAACCATAGGACCTATAACTGCCACCAGTGTGGCCGAGATAGTTATTCATTGGCTCTTCAATTTGGAAATAATTCATGCCTTTCATTCATGATGTTTGTTTGTTTCTTAAGGAATTCTTTTTAAAGTTTTAATGCAAAATCCTAACTTTAAAAAACTGATCAGCTGGAACTACGCTGGTTCAAGTAAGTGGGCAGCTGGGGTTTAAGTATTGCCTACTCAGCCTTCTTACTCTTCTATCCCTTATCAACCTCTAGAGGCCTCCAAGGAACCTCTTACAGTATCCCAGAACACCTTTCCTAAGTAATTTTTTCCCCTTGTGTCCATTAAACCTCTTTTCTGGAGAGTATGATAGGTTAGGGGAAACTGAAAAATCAAATATTTGCATTTTGCCACTTGCTAACTGCTTAATGAAGATTTGGTAGAAGTATTTGAACCTTTAAAAAAAATTTTAATGTCAGTGAGCTTACACAATGCATCTTTTTCCTCTGCCATATTGTGATGGATCAGAATACAGATAATCTAGATCTAGCTGTATGTATGTAGCTTTTGTGGTAAGGGTGCTAGGGTCATCCTCAAAGTGACAAGCACTAATAATTACAACTCTCCCTCTCCTGCTTTTTGGTGTCTCCCTGCACTCCTGATTCTTATATAGGACAAAGAACTTTGAGGCTGGTAAGGCCTATAAGGCAACATGGGGAGATGGTGGAGACAACTCTTCTAGCAATGTAGTATCTAAGCAGCCCGGCCGAGTGACAAATGGTCAGCCTCAGCAAGCAACCACAGGAGCAGCCAGTGGTGGATACATTAAACGGTATGCCAGCTCCTCCCAATATTTTTACCCCTTTCCTAAATGGATGGCGCATCTAGGATGGGTGTAGTTATACATGAACCCTAACTCATCGATTAAAAATAGTATGTATTCCATTTTTAAAATGCATTTAAAAATCTGCCTTCTGACAAAATGTTGACAGTGGATATTGAACTTCAATGATGAATTAATTTTTCTTTATATTTTTCAGTACTTTCCAAATTACCGAAGTTAGCTGTAAATAGGAAAATGTGTTTTAAAATGTATCATCTAGAGCAGAGGTTAGCAAGGTCTATAAGAATATCTATAAAGGGTATAATATAATAAATATTTCAGACTTTGTGGGCCATATCATCTCTGTTGCAATTATTCAGCTCTGTTGTAGAGAGGTTTGTTAAAACACAGGCTGTTGGGATCCACTTCCAGTCTGTTTCAGTAGATCTGGAATGGAGTGTGAGAACTGACATGTTTTTGTGTGTAACAAGTTCCCAGGTGATGTTGGCAATCACACTTTGACAACCATTGTTCTAGAGTTTTTTCTTAATCTTCTCTTACATGGCTTTAAGACGTTTTGTTCTTTTTGGTCAGTCTTTCAGTTTTTACTATAGAATGTTTCCAATAATGGTACCCTACATTCCTTAGAGTCTAACATTTGCTGAGTCATTTTGGTTGTTTATTTTTATGAAAACTATATCCAGAGTTCGTCCATTTATAATTCACTGAAAAATACTGAATTAATATATTTTTGTGATAGTATAACTAATGATGCCAGAGAAGATGAAATGGAAGAGAACCTGACTCAAGTGGGCAATATCCTAGGAAATCTAAAAAATATGGCCATAGACATGGGCAGTGGAATTGACGCTCAAAATCGACAAATAGAGCGGATCACAGAAAAGGTAAAAGCTTCTTAGTGCCGTAGGAAAATGAGACGTGCACTACAGTGTTTTTGTAATCCATATCTGTGCTAGATACTTTGGCGGAGAATAATAGGATAAGATCTGTCCTCACTGATGATAGAGTTTTGAGGTGGCCAGTTCTAACACATTGAAAAACAAGCGCTAAGGTCTCCTGTTGCATGACAGTGGGTTCATTTTGAAACCAAGACCTTGGAATGAAGTGGTTTTATTTAAAATTTCACACTTGAAGCTTCGAATCTTCTCTAATCTTTGTTTTCGCTATATTTTTTTGTTGTTGTTTTTTCTTTCCTCAGTGAGTGAATTAGCTTTTGGAGTTTTATTTTGTTAAATAACAAATTAGTAAGTTACTGAATCCTCATCTCATTAGTCAGTAGGTAAAAACAGTTCTGCAGAATGGTTCTTGGAGTGGACACACACAAAAGTAACGGAAAAATGCGATTGCCATTTTTTTTACTTCATGTAATGTAAACAACACAAAGTGAAATTGTGTTCAGTGTTTGGATGTGTCACATCTAAAAGCCATTCTTACTGTTATTTCGTTAAAATCTCAGTGTACTTACTTTGGAGGATGGGGTGAGTTTTTAAACTCAGCTCTCTATTGAATCTCTTACAATGGATTTCATTGAGGCAAACAATGCTTTCATTGCTATCCTGTGGGTTTAGGCACATATTACCCATCATTTTAATTCAGGTATTGATGTGGATGTGGTAATACATTTGTTCCAAAGATCTTGGGGAAGATTATTTTAGTCTCTCTGGATTAGACCTACGGTAGGTCCAGATGGGGTTCTATGACTCAGCTCCAGGGACTCCCACAAGGTCCAGATCTGTAGCAGAGAAGAGCATTGTTATATTTCATTGCATCTAAAATGGCATTGATTATAAGGTGCACCCTAGTTTCAGACATAATAAATGACAATGTTACAGAATTCATGAAATATGGGCAAGCTCTGTTATACCTTTGTCAATTTATATTTCCAAGTTTTTCCAAATGAATTTGATATTCTGTTCTTGCCTAAAATGAGTTTTGTAATGTGACTTCCACTATTTCCTGAATTTTGTCTTTCAATTACTCCAAGTATATGAAATTTAACTTTTATTAGATCAACTTACCTTGTGAAGTAATGCTGATGTCTTTTTCTTTTTTTCAGGCTGACACCAACAAAGATCGTATTGACATTGCCAATGCCAGAGCAAAGAAACTCATTGATAGCTAAAGTACTGCTGGACTTCTTTACCATTTATTCACTTGCCTATATCTTCCTTCAAAGTCATTGCCTTTTCAGAGTTTGAAATTTTGGTCCCGCACTCTTCTAATCAGGAGATAATGTGGCAGAAGGGTGAGGAGTAACAGCCCCCCCTATTTTTTTATTTTCTCTTTTTCCCTTGAGGGTAGGCTGCTTCTCAGTCTTCCAGCATTTTCTTTCTCAGTTTATACTCTTAGTTGATGCCATACATCGTAGATAGTGATGTTTTTTTCACCCTCCTCATTTACTGTAGCAGGTTCTTCTGCTTTCAAGATTTGGAAGCATTGCCAAAGACAGCCATAAAAAAGGAAGCTGGGAGGATGGGTGGGGGAGTGCAAGAAGGGGAAGCAAGAGGCAAGAGGTTGTTACCTCAGTAAAACTTTCAGGCCACAAAGCAAAAAGTTGCATAGCCACAGTAAAGAGTTAGTTGGGTTTAGTTTTTAAGTTGCAGTTATTGCCAATTTAGGCTCTTTGTTTTGGAGCTTTTATATATAATATTTTTGTTATACATCACAATTTTGCAACCTCTGCTTCAAAAAAGAATGGAAGTTTTCTTAAAGTGAGCTTAATTCCTGAACTCTTAGTATTTCATATATGTAAATAGATTCTGTGATCACATTGCATATTGCACCATACAGGAACACTTTGTGTAAATGAATAGCTTTTTATTTTCATATTAGTATCATGGTCCCATTACAGGCCTATTAACCTCATAAATTTGTCATTAGCCTTTGAAGAAAAAGATATGTAAATATGTAAGTGTAACATGAGAATTTCTCTCTAAAGCATGGCTTAAAATTTTTTGGAGAATTTTGACAAAGTATATCACGTGAATTCAGATTTACCTCAATGCAAGAATTATGTTTTAGATAGGAAAAAAGAAACTTGTTTTGATCTCAGGTAGAAAAATTGTTAGATTGCTTTGAGTTTCATGTAGATTTAGACTTAAAAAGCTAGAATTCTGTTTAACTGAAAGCGATTTAGAAAATTATACTTTTGGTTTGATTACTGATGATTGCATTATCATTCATCCTCAGCCTCGGGTATTGAACTATGTTCAGAATTACGTTTATTTGGATCCTGAACAGTGTTGTAAGAATCTGATTGGTATTTGTCACCTTTATTTACAAGGTAGCAAAAAAAAGGGCACCTGTGCACTTCAAAGCTACTAATGTGATTGGTTTGACCAATAACCATTGCTTAATCCTTACAATTAAATGTTGTAACTAATGGAACTGTTCTTTCAAATAGGTAAGTGTGTTTCTGTGACTATTTTGGGTAAGGGGCAATCATTTCATCAGCTCTTATTTAACCAATTGAGTAAAGGTCCATAAATCAATAAGCAATCCAACAGAAAGCTGCCTTTAGCATCTTTCCCATTTTTATTGGAAATATGACAGCACTGTCCTTTCTGTGATTTGTTATGAGGTGCATTTTAATCATTACTAGTCTTTTATTCATTTGCACTTAAATACACTAGTGACTGAAAGGATAATGATTATAAGTGAGAACTATAACCCACTTGAGATATAGTTAATATGGGAATTTTCAGAGGCTGAAGAGGAAAATACAGAGGGTGCCAAAAAATGTATACACATTTTAAGAAAGGAAAAAACTGTATTAAAATTGTAATAATATATACTGATAACAAAAGATGAATGAATACAAGTCACGTTTGACCTCTGCAATTACAAGAGATGTTCAAAGTGTAACAGCATAATTTTAATATATTTTTTTCCTTTCTTAAAATGTGTATACATTTTTTTTGGCACCCTCTGTAATTAAAGTGAGATTCAGTTAGGCCCTGTGTAATAGAAATACTCCATGCCAGAAGGAGTAGTTTGGCAGGTGATGGTATATATATATATATATATATATATATATATATATATATATATATATATATATATATATATATATATATAAAGTAAGAATGTTTAAAACATTGGGGATTGTGCTATACCTAAATCCCCTTCCTAGAAGTATTAAAAAAAAATTTTTTTAACAGTTATGGCTAAAGGAAATAGTTTTGAGAATACCAATATGCTACCCCCACAGTAATAATAGAAGTGTGAACTTAGGCACCAAAATGTCTAAATTTACACTCTTAACTCTGCCACTTGCTGGCTGAGTGACTATAAGCCCATTTCTGTGCCTCAGTTTCCTTGTCTATAAATGGGGATTATAATTCCTACCTCAGAATTATTGCAAAGACTCAACATGGTAATGCATGGGAAGCACTTAAGAGCAGTGCCCAGCAAATGTAAGAGCTCAATAAATGATAGCTACTGTTTGTTCTCCAGAATGGAGCTCGTTTTGGGTCAGGGATCCCTTTGTGAATTTGATGAAAGACAACACAGCCTATCTCCCCAGAGAAATAGAGACACAAACATGAATATGCATAAATGGGTCTTGAAAACCCATCCATGGATCTCAGGTTACAAACCCTTTTAAAGATTGTGCTACTGAGAAAAAAGAGGGATGAGGCAATAGAAATTATTGGCCCATCATACACTAGAAATACAAGCTGTTGACTTAAAGCCTTTTCATGTTTTTCTCCTATAACATTGTTTGGAAACTTGTTTCCATTACTTTTGAAAGATAGTAACTGAAGTTGGTTAACACAACTTTGGAGTCACCTGAATTCAAATTTTGGTTCAGTCATTTACTATCTGTGTGACCATGGGCATAATACTAACCTATAACTAAGGAGTTAAAAAACAGTATTCCCCACTGAAATGAATAGTAAGCTCCCTCTTCAAGTTTCTAGTCTTATAATGACAATGATCTTTATCCCCTATAGTTGTGCCTTTTTTTTTCTTCCTTCAGTTTTAATTCATCCTTTAATTCAACTCTGTATCTTTTCATGCCCCGTGTGGATTATGAATATTGGGTTGTCGGAAAAGTCATGACACATTTTTGCAACAAAAAACATTAAAAAAATACGTCATGACTTTTCCAACAACCCAATATTTTCCAGATATATACTCACTTGTACTTAGAATTAGTTTCTTTAGGTCACTTGCTTACTAAAATTCTAAGTTATTCCAGTTACAGTCCTAGTCAGATTTATATTTCTCAGATTGATACCCAAGTTCCTTATTCTCTAGTCATTTGATTTTTATCCTTTTTAACTTGGTGTCTGCTCTAAGCCTTCCTTTTCTGTACAACTTGCTAAATTCTATTTTGATACCTCACAAATGAAATAAAGGGCACCGTTTGAGTACTTACTCTGTCATGGGCACTATGGTAAATGCTTTTTATGTATCTCTTCACCATATCCTCATAATTTACCTGAGAGGTAGGATGTATTGCCATGTTAACAGATGAGACTAAATTGCTCAAATTAATAGTTAGTAAATGACAGACTTTGGATTCAAACCAGGATCTTTCTAACTCCAACGCTTATGATTTTATTCAGTATTCTACACTGACTTCCAAGCAAGCTCTAAAAGAATGTAGGTGACTTAGGGCTGGTGGCCACTAGAATGTGGGTCTCCAGATCACAAGTCACCTTACTTTGTTAGCTCATATTTAAGTCTAAATACTTGTGTACTATAACTGGGCATATTACTTTACATAGTTGCTGCCTTCAAGTAGCTCAGTCTAGCAAGAGACAGCTGAATATAGAATGTGAATATAGACAGTTGAATATAAAAGTGCTATTATAACAGATAGAAGAGCAATTAATTTGCTTAGACTTAGGAAGGGGCTTAGACATAGGGAAGGAGCATGTTAGTAAGAGGGCATTTCTGACTGAGCAAACAATGTAAAGGTGGATAAAGGCGAAAGACATTACACTATAGGTCTAAAGAGCAGAACAATCTGGTATGAAGAGGTAGGCAAATGACAGTGAAGAAAGAGTATCTGGGGCAGCCGGATAGCTCAGTTGATTAAAGCATGTGCTCTGAACAACAGGGTTGCCAGTTCAATTCCCACATGGGCTGGTAAGCTGCACCCTCTACAGCTAAGATTGTGAACAACAGCTTGACCTGGAGCTGGGCTGCTGTGAGCCTCCATGAGCGGCCGGCCGTCGTCTGGTGACCAACTGCCATAGCCGGGTAGAACACAATCCTCATAATACCAACATGGGCCAGTGAGCTGTGTCCTCCACACCTAGACTGAGAACAACTTGACTCAGAGGTCAGGGGCGAGGGAGGAAAAAAGGAAGAGTATCTGGAAATAAGGCTGGGTCTAAGTTGTGAAAGTAGTGGTGACTGTCATAAGGATGGGGAGTTTTAAAACTAATTAAATGGCTGGGAACATTTAAGTTTAATTTGTAAGTTCTGATTTAGTAGATGATAAGTACTGATAAAATATTTAGAGAAATTAATTGTTCAGTGAGTAGACGAATAAGATTAAACATTAAAGTTTATTTTTAAAAACTCAATAATGATAAACTGACACCCCTGTCCCTCCCCAAAATGAGAAACAAAATAACATGGGAAAAAGAATACCTAGACCAGATTTAAGGTCAGGAGACTTCCTCATATATATTAAATACTAGCCTGTTACGATCTCTTGACTTAAAGGTGAAACTAGGTTTGTAAAATGAGAACTGTCAATACATGACACATAATACCTTTGTACCTTCAGTATCTCTTAGTAAGCATGGGTCCGATACCACAAAATGTTTATGAGTCACATGAAGGCATCACAGTACTCATGCAGCCCAAAAATGAAACTCCTTTCTAATCAGTTTATTTTCAAATAAGGGGCCATTTATAGGTTAAAGTTCTCATGTCTTCCTTTTAAAGGATTAACCTTTCTTCCAGCCAAAGTTTATTACAAATTCTTTATTTAGTATATTCTTTCATTCAGAGAATAAACTTGTTAAACATAGGTTTTAAAATATTGTTGTAGTTTTTTGATAGGTAATTTGATTAGTAGAATTATAAATACAAAAAGGAAAAAGGATTACCAGAAATGAGACATTATTTCTAACAAAGCTTCAGGAAAATCTTGATACTTAAAACCCCTTGTATCGTACAAGTTTTGCATATATGGTTTTAGCTCTTCAGAGCCCTCTACCAATAAGGCACCTGCAATAAAGAATTTGCAACTGCAGCCTTGGGGAACATCTCTTAGTGTTGTATTGGTGCTTCTCTGACAAAGTACACTTCAATCAGGACAGTCACATATTTATGTACATTCTAAATTCCAAGTATAAATACTGTAACTGAACTGATAGACTGGAATAAAATCACAGATCCTTAGATTAACCATAGTAGCCTTTCACAAATTATTTGAATTTCAAAAAAATGTGAAATGTTAACACAAAGGTGGAATGGCAGCTGACTTTATAAAAGCTTACACATGAAATGTCAAGCTGAGGTGTGGAGCTATTCTATTACCAGGCAGCATCCCCTCACTGTATAAATAGCAACTTACTACTGGTTTCTTAAAGCCAAACTTATGATGATTTTGAAGATCAACACTGTCCATTGCCCTATCCATGACTCAAAATGGAGAACTCTTTCTGTCTCTAGATTCCTTTTAGCTTATTTGAGATAAGCTCTGGAAAGGAAAAAGATCAAATGAAATTATAATCTCCTGGAGTATCAGCTCCTCACTGCAGATATCCTTGACAACAGCACGCGCCTTTGATTCAGCCAGATTGCAACAGGTTCCAAATCAGTGTCCTATAAGGATTCCCATGCTCCTGGAGAACATCACGCAAACTTCTTCTTGGTGGCCGTGTACCTCTCCATGTACTAAAAATCATTAAAGAAAAATTTTTATGTAGTATTTTGGCATGAGCAAATACTAGCCTATTTGGGACTTAGGTTTTTATATGATTTTTTTTTTCATTTAGGTTTTACTGGCTATGTTACTTTATTTCCTACAAAATCTACCTATTCTAAATGCAAATTTTAAGTACATAGTTTTGGGGTCTTTTAAATTTCTTAATGTTTTAATAGGAAACCTATCCAAAAACAAAGATGCTTCACCATACACCATCTAGAGAAAAAGTCATTTTGGTATACAAGAATTTGCACCAATATATCTTGGTACAGGAATTTGATTCTTAGAACCATCTCCAAAATAGGAAACAAATCCTGTTGACAAACAGGATTATACAGACAGCCTCTAGATATAAACATTTATGTGAGTTACTTCACTGTTCTCTTCTCTGAGCAGAGACTAGAAATGCAGAAGTATACTAATACACACCTTATCATAGCCTTCTAGTTCTCGAAGTTTCTTTATTTCAAAAAGGTTGCCTTCCACAGCAAGCAGACAGATCTGGGAATCACTAAGGATGCTCTGTGGAAGCATGCTGAGTTCAAGGCAATTCTCTTCCAGGCGAAGAACTTTAAGGCGAGGACAGCAAGATATCTTTACTGAAACCTGAGATATCTATTGAACAACAAAAAACAATAACAGGAAAAAGCATAAGTACTGTAATGGTTATTTTTTACTAAATTAAAACAAAAAACCTTTATTTGATTATTTGTCCTAGTTCTTTTACCGCCTCCATTTTCTCACTACCTACTCATTCCAGAAGCCTCTGTCATCTAGCTTCTGTTAACTACTCCTCCACTTTTTTGGGTGGGGTGGGGAGGGTGGGAACACCTGGCTATTTAAAGTCCACCAGTGGCTTTTTGGAAATAAAATTTTCTGATAAAAGCAGAAATTGGAGAATCACACAAGTTTAAAGAAAAGTTACCTGTAATCCACTACCATAAACATTTTGGTACATTTACTGCCAGTCATTTATTTGTATATAAATGTTTGATTGTACTGTCTACCCCTTCCTTGAAACTCTGTTGTATCTAAGTACTGGGTTTTTCTTCCTCTTTTGAATTATTCCTGATTTTTGGCTTTCCTTCTTGTTCCTATGGACATTTTTTGTGCGGTGGTCCCTAATACTTAATATTTGATCTTCCTAAACTTTCTCCTAGAAAGCTTATCCATTCTTAAAACTATCATTCTTACCTCAGAATCTATCTACATTTAAACCTCTGACCTCTATTCTACTTCCTGTGTCTCCAGTTTTTAATACAGCATTTCCACTTGGATGATGCACCATCATAATCAACTTAGCATGTCTATTCTCAATAGCACCACTCTTCTTTTAGGCCCTCAAGCTCAACACCAAGCAATTTAATTTATTCACCTCTTTTGCCCATTGATTCACCAAATTATATTTGCTCTGCCTGGTATTATCTCAGACCATCACCTGGGAACTTGTTAGAAATGCAAATTCTTAGACCCCACCCCATACCTACTGAATCAAATGCTGAGTGGGGACCCAGTGAACTTTTAACACGCTCTCCTGGTTATTTTAATGCACACTAAGATCTGAGAACCACTGGTAAAGTCATCAGCATAGGTGAATGTGGAGTGAGTGCCCAGCTAATCATTGTTTAACAATTGTTTCCAAGTTTTTTCCAAACATTCACATTTTTTTCCTAAAAAGCTCAAGAACATAAAAGAATATCCAGGGCCGGCCGAGTGGCGCGATGGTTAAGAACTGGCTTGGGACGCCAGAGGGCCCCAGTTCGGATCCCACATATGAGGGCCAGTGACACTGCCCTCCACAGCTAAGATGCTGAACAACAGCTCAACCTGGAACTGGGCTGCTGTGAGTCACCGGCGAGGGGGTAGGCTGCAGCCCCTGTGGCAGTGGGTTGCCATGGGCTACTGTATGTAGCCAGCAGCCAGTGTGAGCGGCCAGCAACCAGTGTGAGCGGCCGTCCAAAAGCCGGCGACTGATCTGCCTCACCAGAGAAGAGCGCAATGATGGTGCCAACTTGGGCCAGTGAAACAATGTTCTCCACAACTAGACTGAAGAACAAAACGACAGCAACTTGTCTGTTCCCCCAATTCCCCAGCATTGTTCCCATCCCAATTCCCCAATTAAAAAAAAAAAAAGAAGAACATCCACTTAAGGAAAAGATGAGGCCAATCTCCTCAGAGACTAAATTTCATAATAATGTAAGGTCACTACAGTCTAGAATAGTTTTGTCCCAATAAAACGTTTTGCAATGATCGGAATGTTCTATATCTATGCTGTCCAATGTGGTAGCCACTAGCCACATATGGCTTTTGAACACTTAAAATACAGCTAGTGGTAACTGGACTTGAATTTTTTAATAAAATGAATTTCAATAGCCACATGTGGCTAGTGGCTGCTGTATTGGACTATAGATCTAGAAGCATAGATAATAGAAAAACTAAAGGCCACCTGGTAGTCTCATTATGTTTAATGTTTCATCATCTGTGCCTTAATACTAAACCAAAGATTGTTTCTCCAATCAGATGCATATTAACCAAAAAGCTTTCAAAGTAATGGAAACAAATTTCAAATACTGCCGTCAAAGCTGTCCAACAATGAAATAGGCTATCTCCAGAATGCCGAGCACTGAGTTTTTCAACAAAAGCAAGACACGTACTTGACAAATGTCAAAAATTGAACTGAATTACCTTTGATGTCCAACTCTGAGAACCTATGAGTTTACATCTCTTTTCAACTCTTCCTGACATAGCTCCTTGCTAGATGACTAGAGGCATGCTTGAGGAGGATCTGAAGAACTCTTCAAGATTTGTGAGACAGTAGTTTAACTTTTGAAATAATCTCACCCTGTTACCCATCCCACCCTGCAAAAAAATACCTATATAACAAACAGTGTCTCAACTAACTCGATGGCACTTTGGGCTTTGAAATTAGTCCAGCCCATACAATAATACCTCTCAATAGCTTCTAATACCCAGCTCCATGATTACAGGTTACAGAACAACCGGTTATTCATGAGACCATAAACCCATATATACACTACAAAAAAAAAACCTTAAGCTAGACCTGGTTCTGGTTGAAGTTGAGTTCGATGACCTGCAGCTCCCCCACTATGTCAGGTATGCTTCGAATCTGGTTTTTAGAAAGATCCACCACATCCAGGTGCCTCAGGCTACAAAGTTGGAGTGGTAGTGCTCCCAGCTGGTTCCCAGAGAGGCTCAGGGTCTTCAGGGCCGACAATTGCCCAAAGGTAGATGGCAGCTCTCTCAAGTGATTATTGTTTAGGCTTAGCGTTTCTAGTTTTTTCAGATTGCCTAACTCCTCAGGAAGAATGGCTGGCAAAAAAAAAAAAATGTAAACCTAAATCGGATACAGCTGAAAAACACCTTTGATGAAGTTTGTAAAAACTATATGGCAGCCTGCTATGCCCCTTGTTAATACAGAATTCCTACATATTGTGCCATTTTTAAGAATTGCCCTTTTATCAACATAGTTTTCGAAGATGAGGGTGCCATCAAAATGCAGGAAAGCATTTATATGTATAATGGCTCCTTTTGTAAAGGGGCCTCCACACAATCTGACAGCAATTTTGTGGGATTTGGAAGGCCCTCCTTTTCCCATTCCCTCCCCCCCAAATTAGCAGCAAAATTAGGTCTGTTTAGATAACAAAGGTCTTCCCCTTCAAATTATCCCAGTACCAATCATTATACTAGAGGAGGGTTGTAGATGTAATTACAAGAGAGAGAACGCTTCAAGGACTCTGACATTCTCCTGCGTCTTGAGCTCTCTGAACCGTTTTATAACAACAACAAAAATCAGCTTGTAAGAGAACACCACCCTTCTTAACAGCTGATCAGTAGCAAAAGCTTCCCAGGCGCAAAAGCCATACTCAGTTTGTTGTTGTTCAAGGAGAGGCTCTTCAGCAGAGTGAACTTTCCTATAATCATAGGCGGTAGGCTCTCGATCTTGTTGTTGGACAAGTCGATGGTCCTGAGATTGCTCGTCAGCTTCTGCAACTCTGAAGGGAACTGGAGAAAGGGGTTCACAGCGCGGAGAATCCCTTACCAATTAACTTCACCGCCCCCGCCGTCCCTCTCCCTTTAAATTTCCTGATCGGGTCCCTCCTAGTCTCACCTCGGTCAGCCCACGGTCCTTAAGCTGAAAGACTCCAGTTTTCTGCGCGGTTTCCACATGAGCGCGGATGGCATTGTTTCCCATCCTAGCTCCGCAGCTCGGGTCCCTGCGGGAAGGAAGTGCAGCTGTCACCACCTCGGTCCAGGCACCTAGTCACCCCGTCGGCCTCCCGGCTGGGTCTCATGCCCCAGCCGTCACCTGCAGATCTTTGTATCTTGGGGGCGAACCCAAGAGTGGCAAGGCAGAAAGGGAAGAGCAGAGAGAGCCCGACCACCAGGTCCCGGCACTTTTGCAGTTGTCCCGAGGCTAGACGCCGCTAGGAGATTATGGAGGATCACGGAGTCCTGGACTCGCCTCTTATCACTCGCTCCACAGAAGACCCAGGACCCGCGCTAGCTGGGGATGCGCTCTCCAAGCTTCCGCCCCGGCGGAAACGCCCTGTGACGTCATCGAGCTGCGCGGCGCTTTCGCCTGGAGTTCTACTTATGGTCGGCGCCATTCTGGGAGGCGGGTCTCAGCCATGGAGGCCGCGAACCCTTGGGACCCGGTGTCCGCGCCAACCGCTGCCGGGCTAGTGCTGGGCCGTTTCGTAGCATCGGGGTTTGTCACTCAGGTACGTGGGCGGCGATGGCGTCATTAAGGGGTTGCCTACTGTGGCGACTGAACATGACTGAAGTGGTGGTGCTGGCTTGGGGCTGTACTAGAATAGAGGCAGATTGGAGCCCCTTCCCGGCAACAGCAGATACCATTCTGCAATGGGTTCTAAATGGGGCCTCTAAGTAGATGGTAATTCGAGTAGACGGTGTGTCAAGTGTCTGTCTGCAGGCGATTATGCCAGGTCAGTTCGTGGGAGACAATAAAGACCAGTGTTCATCCCGCTGTTTTTCATCCAGTGATACGGCCTCTAGATTGTAATGGGTGGCGGGATTGGGAAATACGGCAAGGTAGTTAAAACATACGTTCGCAAACGACGCTCGTTTGTGTGAAATGTTGAGACATATTTGGGGCGGAAGGCCCATATTTGGGTACTGGAGAGCTCCAGGGGAAGCGCGCATCTTTCAAGTCGTCGTCGTTCCCCCCCACCAAAAAAAAAAAAAGTATTGGGGAAAAGATCCCAAAGGCTTGGAATATGAATGGAGGAAGAGATTAATTTTGAGGAGAGACGAGGAAGATTAGCCCAAGGGGTGGTAGTTTTAGATTGGGCAAGAAGAACATGTTCTTAGGCCAAACGGGAAGGAGCCAATAGAGGGAGAGATGGAAGATGTGAAGGAATAATAGAATACAAGTGGCAGAAGTGACAAGGGAAAGTGGAATTGAGGGAAATAAGGGAAAGGAATTTTTAGATAATGAGGAACTTGAGAATTGCACTAAAAAAGGAAACGGGGCTGGCTGAGTGGCTCAGTTGGTTAAGAACTGGCTTGGGACGCCAGAGGGCCCTGGTTGGGATCCCACATATGAGGGCCAGTGACACTGCCCTCTGCACCCAAGATGCTGAACAACAGCTCCACCTGGAGCTGTGCTGCCAAGAGTGGCTGGGGACCCCGTAGGCTGCAGCCCCTGCTGCAGTGGGCTGCCGTGAGCTACAGTGAGTGGCCAGCAGCCAGCGTGAGCTGCCGTGAGTGGCAGTCCAATGGCCGGCGACTGATCTGCCTCAGCCAGGAAGAGCGCAATGATCATAATACCAACATGGGCCAGTGAAGGGGTGTCCTCCACATCTAGACTGAGAACAAAAGGACAGCAACTTGTCTGTTCCCTTCCCCCAATTCCCCAATAAAATCTTTTTTTTAAAAAAAAGGAAACTGAAAAAAGCAGAAAGATAAAATCATCTGCAGAGATGAGCAGTGTAAACATGATGGAAGGTTTATGGAAAACACACTTTTTATACTTAAAAGAGTCAGTAGAGAATCCTATCTTACAGTATTTTTAAGGTGAAGAAGCTAAGACCTCAAGAGACCAAGAAATTTGCCCAGGGTCACTCAACTAATGAAGTAGGATTAGATACTAGAGCTCTCCCTTTTCTGACATAGTATATCATCTCTAAGATGAACTGTGATAGATGATACTGTGACACTATCTTGAAAGTGTTTAAACTTCTTTTGAAGAACTTTTCTAAATTACTTGGAAGACCTAGTAACAAGACCTTATGGATTGTGGGGGGAACCAGGAGTAGTAATGAATGCATTGGAAAATAGACAAAACATACCACAGCACTCACCAATTCTCACCTTCCTTCCTTCTCTCCTGTGTTTTCTTCCTACCAAGTTGCCTAGTACTCTCACTTGTTACCAGTTCTGTAAAAAAATAATTTGATAAACTCATGCTATAGGACATCTGGGATTTATCCATCTAGAGCCATTGGTATAAGTATAAACACCTAAACTAAAGGAGTAAGTCTCTGGCGAAAGAATTTTAGGCATTGATTGCTGAGCTGTTTGTTGGGAATGGTGGTGGTTTGAGGGAGGCTCTTACTAGTGTCCTTCAAGTAACAGTTAGACAGTTACCTGTCTTCCCTACAGGTAAGACCTGCCAATGCATAGTTTCTTAAAACCATTTTAAAATCTTACTGCATAGCTAGTCCATGAGGAAACTTTACGAGTTTGTAGCATAATTTTACATTAAACAAACTTTGCAAATGAAAACCTATCTTTATTAGGATTTAGCATTGATTCTTTCAAAATTATGTATTATATGATCCCTTTAAACAGTCCATCCCTGAAGTGCACATTATCCCATGTGCATTAAAAATTAAGAGTGATGCTTAAAACTGTGGTATGATACACCTCTTCAGGAAAATAGCTTGTTTGAGCTTTCTTCTGTTTTGCTCTATCCATTGGAGAATTACTTAGTGAAAGAAAGTTAGGGCTAACTGTCTGTTGGATAATGAGATATTTGATTTCATTTATGCCCTAAGACTGCTTTAGTGGCCTTACATTCTAGATATTTTTCAGGCAACCTTGAGTCAGTCATGACATCTTGTTCAAAGCTCCCTCTACTGGCAACGCATAAGATAAGGATCTGGACCTACAAAAAACCCAGAATCTACTATTGGATTGTTGGAAAAGTCATGACATATTTTTTCTATGTTTTTCTTTGCAAAAATGCATCATGAGTTTTCCAACAACCCAATATTTTCATATATATATATATATATATATATATATATATATATATATATATATATGTTATCAGTGAGCAAACTTTTGCTGTGAAGGGCCAGAGAGTAAGTATTTGAGGCTTTTCAGTCCATATGGTTGCAACTAGGCTGTTGTAGTGTGAAAGCAGCCAGAGATAATAAGTAAATGAATGAGAAGTTGAGTTCCAATAAAACTTTATTTCTGTATCTTAAAACTTGAATTTTATATAATTTTCACGTTTCACAAAATATTATTTTTCTTTTTGCCCCCCAACACTTAAAAAATGTAAAAACCATTTTTAGCCCATGGGCTATACAAAAACAGGCAGCAGGCTGCATTTAGCTCATGGGCTCTAGTTTCCTAACCCCTGCTCTCTAAAGTTCTTTCTTGTACTAGCATTCTAGAAAAGCAGAAAAGGATACAGAAAATTATGGATGAAGCCAAGGGATAAACAAGATAATATTCTTATTCCGAGATAACCTGCAATTTAAGAAGGCATAATAACAGAATGAAAGGATAAAAAGGGGATAACCTTTTTAGAAGAATAATTATGCCTGGATAAAACACTCCTTTATCTAAGAGAGTGAGAATGTGAAAAGAGAGAATATGAATGATTTGTAGCCAATAGAAGTCATTTAATGAATCAGATAAATAACTCCATGGGGCGTGAGGGTGGGAGAGGACTGTTTGATTTTAGCCCCAGGAATGTCTGAGTGTCACGTCCAGCGTGGCAAGGGCAAATGGGACACGAGAGGGGCGGCGCAGATTGAATAAGTACAAGAGACAAAAGTAAGATTTCAGAGCGAGACCAAGGGACTCAGCCTTCAGAGATAGACTGAGCCACCGAATCGGGTCAACGCATGGCTTTTATTGATTCTTTTCAAGGAAGTAAACTGCTGTGCTGTC